GAGATGTTGGACCTGGCCCAAGGTCAGTTGGTCAAGGTCAAGATCTGGGCTTCGGGACTTGTAAACACCTCCTGCCCCATGCATGCACTTCTCATTCAGAGAAGACAGAATAGTCAAAGATGGCCAGAAGGAAATGACACAGTGTGCTAGACCCAGATGTCCAAAGTTCAGCCTGAACTGGAGTCAAGAAAAGAGGAAGCAATAGCAGCTGGCCTCTAGTTTTGGCTGTGTAAGGCAGTCACAAGTCCTGGACAAGTTGGTTTTTATTTCCAGACCTGTCCCACGCAAGGCTAGAAATGTAGGTGACTTTCAAACTGTCACAATGAATCTCTTAGCTACAAAAGGTGGTAATTAAACAATTAGCCAAATATTGTCTTAGAAACAGAGTTCAGTGATGGATTCAGTATAGCACAGCTTAGAATATAACTCAGGCCCTCCTGGAAAATTGTTTACTTTGTAAGAATCTCTTTGGTTAGCTGTATTTGTATACCTTGAAGATCAGATTGGCAGGACATTGACACCCAACACCCAGGTAAGATGGCACATTTCATCTGATGTGTGAGCAGATTCTAAGCTTCCAGACTTTTCCACTGCAGGTCTCAATCTATCTTGAAGTAACCCAGATCTCAGCGATTGTGTGAAACTAGAATCTGAGAAGCTACCCACTCTTCAGGGGCAAGGTGAGACTGGGAAATGTCCATGAGAGTAGGAGACGAAATTAATCTTGAGGAAGCTTGAAAGATGAGATCTAGGGATAAAATGCCTTTTAAAATTTTTTCTCATAGACTTAACTCATCCATTTAAGACTAACCTAGAATTTTCAGGTGAATTTCAAAGTACAATTTCCATATCCCTCTGGAATATTATGTGTCTAATTAAAATGAATGTTTAGCTTATCTTTAATGTTATTGACAGACCCTGATAATGATCTTTGAGAAAGGTACTGTGTTCCTCGTCTACAGGAAAGGTGCTGAGGTGACAAGAAAGGCAGTAATTTGCTGAAGATCAGATAGCCTGGGAGTGCTGGAGCTAGGACTCAAACCCACGTAGCCTTAGCCGGGGACTGGTTCTGTTATCTGTTCTCATGGCAGTATAATTATTGAGCACTCTGTTCCCAGTGAATGCCATGAGAAATGTTCAGAATGAAAGGGCACTGGTTTATATAAGCGACTCCTCTGCATAATAACATGTATGCTCTTACATACAACGCATTGTTGCTTCCTCAGTTTCTTCTTCAAGCCAAAAGACCACCACCAGCTGAAACAATTAAAATAGAGAATGAAGGATTCAAGCCAGAGCGAGGAAGTAGATGTTTTATAAATGTATTGCAGTTTTTATACATTCTTTTATTGAGAGACGTTTGGGTTGTATCTGATTTTTAGCAATTATGAAGGAAACTGGCATCTTCTTTCACAAGTCTTTTTATGGCCATAGGCTTTCATGTCTCTTGAATCTATCAGTGAAATGCCCAATCCTTGTGGAGAAATACACTTAATTTAAATACTTAAACTCTGCCAATGAGTTTTCCAAGGTGATCTTACCATACTGAGAATTCCAGTTGCTCTACTTCCTTATTCACAATTGATGTCTTTTTGAACTTCAGTCCTTCTGTTGAACCAGTACCTCATTGTGGTTTTACTTTGCATTTCCCAATTGGCTGATGATGTTGAATATTCTTTTATAGTTGTTTAGTGATTTTACAGCTTCTTTGGTAAAGTGTCTACTCAAATCTTGTGCCATGTTTTTAATTGGATGTTTTTCTGGGCGTTTTTTAAAAATTATTTTATTTGGAGAACTCTTTATATGTTTTGCATCAAACTTTTCATACATGAGATTTGTAAGTGCTTTCTTTATATTTAGAGCTTATTTTTGCATTTATTTTTTGGCAGGTTGTGGGGTTTGAACTTAGGGCCTGTGTGCTGTCCTTGAGCCTCTTTGTGCTCAAGGCTAGTGCTCTACCACTTGAGCCACAGCACAAGTAGTTAATTTGAGATAGGAGTCTCACAGGGCTTTTCTGCCAGGGCTGACTTTGAACCATGATCTTCAGATCTCAGCCTCCTGAGTAGCTAGTATTACAGGCATGAACCATGAGTGCCCAGCTTCAGTTTTTAATTTTAATGAAACTCAACTTATCAATTATTTTCTTTTGTGAGCTAGGCATTAACTGGTGTAACTAAAAAACTCTTTGCCTGAGCTAAATGCACAAATATTTCATCTTGTATTTTTTATTTAAAAAAAACTTTTTTAGAGTATTTTCTGTTTTGAATGGATTTTTGTGGTGTTAAAGTGTTGATCATTTTGCCTAGGAATATCCATTTATTCTAGTCCTTTTTGTTGGGGTAAAAAAAAAAGAAACTCTTCTTTTCCAATGAATTTGCTTGGCACTTTTCTAAAAAAAGAAAAGGTGGGCTGGTTTCTAGACTCTTCATTTTATTCCATTGATCTACTTGTTTACCATGCTGTCAATATCACAATTATTATAATTTTATAGTAAGTCTTGAAGTCAGTAGTGTAAGTCTTCCGTCTTTGCTCATGTTCAAATTAGTATTGTGTAATCTGTTATTTACATATGAGTTTGGGACAAGTTATCAATTTCTGTGAAAAGAAAGCGAGAAAGAAAAAAGAAAGAAAGAAAGCGAGAAAGAAAAAAGAAAGAAAGAAAGAAAGAAAGAAGGGAGGGAGGGAAGGAGGGAGGGAGGGAGGGAGGAAGGGAGGGAGGAAGGGAAGGAAAAGGAAAGGGAAAGGGAAAGGGAAAGGGAAAGGAAAGGGAAAGGAAAAGGAAAAGGAAAAGGGAAAAATCCTTTCTAGGATTCGTAGTAGGTATCACTGAATCTATTGGTGGGGAGCTGGCACCTGGAGCCTTGAAAGCAGAAGGAAAATCCATGGACATAGTATATCTCTCCATTCTAAAGGCTTCTTAGTAATAGTTTATTATTTTATTTAATTACTTCTACATATTTTATATTGGTGATATTGATTTCAGTTAATTTTTTAAAAATTTTGTCTAATATAAAATAAAATTGAGTTATTTATTGGCCACTATCTTGCAAATAAACTTATTTACGTCTAGTAGTACATAGATTCTTTAGCATTTTCTATATATACAATCATGTCATTATAACTAAAGGAAACTAGTTTTCCCCTTTTAATCTTTCTTCATCTAATTGACTATTTTTGCTTTTATTGAAACCTGGATTTAAGGTTTATCCAGCCCTTTAAAGTGTCCTAATATATAGGGTCTTGTAGACAATTTTGCTTGTAGACAATTTTGCTGATTCCAGTGCAGTATAAAGCTGGATCTATATGACATGATTAAAGCCTGGCATTTCCCACCAGATATATTCTTGTGTGTTTTCATTCAAACCTATTGAACATACTCTTAAAATGTTCAGCTTAAAAGCTAAACATTGTAGAATTGTACATTTATCTATTAAAAAGTTACTGCAGAGTTCTCTTTATCTTTTTGAGACAAATGTTAAGTCTGAGAACCAATCCACAATCTGAACAAAAATGTAGAAGTTCTAACGGCTCTTCCACTGAATCAAATACTATGCAGACGGGAAAGATTGAGAAGAAAATGAAGTAGTGAGACATGTCATGAAATCAAATAATATGTTGTGCATGGGTAATCCTGACAAAATCAGATGCCTTGGTTGTCAGTTTGGAAAGAAAGCTGCAACCTTGTTTGTCCAGTCTGACTAGGAGTAATATCTCCTTCACTTTTTATACCATTCCTTTAATGACTAACACTCAGTCTCAGAAGATCATATCACTAAACATGGCAATTTAAATGCTTGAAACCTAGCTCAATACAAGACAATAATTCTTGTTTCTCTTTATACAGCTACATTCTTTACACCTATTTTTCTTATCTTTTCTTTCCCCCAACCTTTCCTGGCAACCAAACACATTAGTCTCCATCACACAGTCTTGGGATGATTATGTCATAATTTAGGTAGTATAAAATCTATTTTGCTTATTAACATTTCCCTTTTTTCTGCCAGTCCTGGGATTTGAACTCAAGGCCTAGGCACTGTGCTTGAGCCTCATTGTGCTCAAGGCTAGTGCTCTACCACTTGGACCACAGCTCCACTTCGGCTTTTTTGAGTAGCTTATTGGAGATAAGCGTCTCACAGGGACTTCTCTGTTTGGGCTGGCTTCAAACTGCGATCTTCAGTTCTCAGCCTCCTAAGTAGCTAGGATTACAGGTGTGAGCCACCAGCACCTGGCTTCCCTTGCTTTTTAGATTAAGTTGTGTGTGCTATAGGAAGTCTTATTGGAAGATACATCATTTCCTGCAGTGTCTTTGTGTTTATATACATAGAGACCACAGTAATTACTTGACTTTGAAAATATTTAGGAGCCTATGTACATAATAAATGTGTAAAGATTTTGGAGACAGACAGCCTTGGATACAAATATTCGTTCTGATTTGGAGGCCAACCTTCATTATCCAGTTCTGTCCACAAGGTTACAGGAGGAACTACCACCTTGTACCGATAATGTAGACCACCCTCCTTTCCCTTCTTTCCACAGCTGATCCACCTAGAAAGGACAGGAATCACAAACTGGGCCAATTTATTTTCTCGCTGGGAAATCTGAAAGAGATAGAGACAGCTGGAGAGACAGAGAAAGGCTACTCCCAGAAGCTGAATATGTAAGATAGAACACTGTTGGCAACTTTATTTTCAATGGATGGATCACAAGTGTCAAAGGAGCCAGTCTGAATAAAAGAGCAGTTCGACAGGCAGGCAGAAGTAGATGCAAATACGAGATAGATCAAGAGCAGTGAAAGTCACTTAATTCTCTCTCAGGTCGACACTATAGTGCTTACCAAGTGTATAGGAAGCTTACCTCTCCTAGCTCCTAGCATTTAAGCAGGGCCTTCTTCCTAACTCTAAGTAATATGTGTCATTTCCTGGCTAGAAGCAGTGAAAAATCCCCTGTGATATTCTCCAGTCTCTCACTTCCCCTGCTGGGGCAAATTTATAAGCCTCATGTGGAGTTGACAGATCCAACAATACCAAAGCAGCTTGGGGCTCTGAGTCACCAGGCAGAGGACAGCTGTCCTGGAGAACTGAACAGACCCGCTACAGAGTAAGAGAATAACATGTGTTGTCTTAAGCCACTGAAAAAAATGGGAATTGTTATGTCAACATAATTTTTTTCTGTTTCATCTTCTCTCTGGTCCCTTCTTCAGTTAAATGGAGGTAAGTTTGCTTTTGTTAGTACATGAAGTAAGATCTGTTAAATCTTCTGTAGTACCTGTCACACAGATGGCTTATAAAGAAGCATAGCACTTTATTTTTAAGCAGTATGCTGTCTTTGTCTAGTTTGTTCTAGTCCCGAGTCTACCAGACTCTCCAGTCCCTATGATACAATCAGTGTATATGCAATGTCGCCAGATTAATGTTTACATCAGCCTAAAGAGTTCTCACCTGTCTTAATAGGAACTTGTGGTGGATAAGGGTGAATGGTCCCTTATTAGGATAGCGGGAGGGGTAAGTGTGGTGCAGGGTCCGAGTCTGCCTTGAACAGCTGCTGGTAGCTGCAGATCCTGTGCCATCCTAACAGCAGATTGAGGCAAACACCCAGTGCTATGTGGTATGCCGCCTTCTTGCTAAAGGACGTGGACAGTGGCTTCTAAGCCAGCCTTGGAGAGAAAGCAACTGGCTCTGCCTGCTGGTGTTGAAGAAAAAGAAAGAAAGAAAAGCTCAGGTACTTGCAAATCTCCTGGCAACACCAAGGCCACCATTGGACATTCTTCCCACATTTCAACAGTCCCCTCTGGCTGAGTGGGACTCCATAGTAATCTAACTTCATATTCATGGAAACCTAGAATGTTCCTGATTCTCTGTATGTGTATGTTTGTGTGTCGGTCTGTCTGTCTGTACAGAAACTCATTCTGAGGGCTCAGCTAAAGGACTCCATTGTCCTTGCTACCTTTGTTTACTATTGAAAACATCTACCACCATGTCCAACACCTCATTTCCCAAGTTAGCATTTTTAATCATTCAAGGACACGTTTACAAGACGTGTTAAAAATGAAAATGAGATTGCTGAGGCTTTATACTCTGATAACATTATTCTGATCTTTGATAGGCCTCAATTGAGGTCCCAACAGTGAAGTCCTGATGGAACTGGTGAGGTTTGTCTTTATTTCTGAAGTTTTGAGGTCAGTGGGGGTTTTTTTGTTTTTGTTTTTTGGTTTTGGTTTTGGGGGTTTTTTTTGGTTGGTCGTGGGGCCTGAACCCTGGGCCTGGGCACTGTCCCTCAGCTCTTCAGCTCAAGGCTAGCACCCTACCACTTGAGCCACAGCACCACTGCCAGCTTTTTCTGCTTATGTGGTACTGAGGAATTGAACCCAGGGTCTCATGCATGCGAGGCAAGCACTCTACCACTGAGCCAACTTGAGGTCAGTGTTTCAACCAGGAAGATGGAATCTGAGCAGCTTTGAAGATAACTTTCAGTCTTCACTGAAATCTGAGGCCAAGGCCTCAGGGGCATCAGCTAATCTTCAGAAAATGTAAAGTATTGCTGGGTAGAGAATTGTTCTGACTGGCAGAGGGTCTAGTCTCCACCCAAGCCCTCCTGTTAGCTGGTGACATCATGGGATAGGCAGGAATGGATAAAGAGAATAAGAGCCAAATCCTTAACATCTAATCTACTGGAAGGCCACTTCTATTTTTCTTCTTTCTTGCCTCTGGTCATTTCAGTGAGTGGAATAGAGGCTGGATTTATTTCTGGAAATTTATTTTGTCAAGTTGTGATCCCTAAACCTCAGAGTCCAGGACCAGAAAGGTATGTGTGCTATGAATAAGCCTTCTTAAAAGAAAGCCAGGACACTGTGTAGCTCTGTAAGATTGAACTGAAACCAAACTACAAAGAAAATCTATGTATCTGTTTGTGGTTGCAAAGGTGAAAGACTCCATTTCCTTCCCCCTTCTCAGGAAAGGAATTTCCTACTTGATTTCCCAGGGAGCATTTTGTCTGTGGATGAGGCGTTTGTTTGTTAAGGGTAGCCTATAGAATTGAGTGGCTGGTTCTTCCGTTTCTAACACATTCAGTTTCTACGTTTCCAACACATATAACTATACTGTATAGTTACTCAGCGAGTTTATGTGGTTAGTTGTTCTCTTTTTCATCTCAAGGGGAATGTTTACCACTGTTAATGTTCAGTTGTGCAGATTATTGAGTTTGCTACTGCTGAGCTGGGCCTGAGTAGACGGGAGCCACTTGGTGCGGGGGTGTGCTTCTTCACAGAAGAGTCTCTGTCCATAAGAGCAACTCTGAAAGGAAGAAGAAGGAGGTAGGGACAAGATATACTGTCAGGGCTTGTTACAGCTTTGATGTGGAGCCCAAAGAATAAGAAAACAAAGGCTAGACTGATGAGTTGCCCAGAATCGAGAGAATATATCATACAATTGAAATGCAAAACAGCCCATACATGTTATTATAAACTCTAGTATCCACGTTTTTTTAAGTAATAAGAAATAGGTAAAGTTATTTTAATTTTTTATTTTGGTTAACACGATGCATCCAAAATACCATCATTGAGAATTAATGTTTTACATTGTTTTCATATTAAATCTTCAACTTCTAGACCACTGCAGTGGGGACCCATGCCACATTGTAAGTGTTCAGTAAATACCCGTGGCTTGTAAAGAATGATCAGCCTAGACTGAAAAGGATTAGAAGAATGTAAGGAAGATAGATTGAAAAGAATAATTTGTGTTAAGTTTCTGTTGGGTTATTCTGGGGAGGTATGTCAAAGTGGAGATGAGCTGAAAGACATTAGATGTGTAGAATTATTAGTTGAAAGCCACATATTTGTGGTTCACATCTGTAGTCCTGGCTACTTAAAAGACCAAGATCTGAGGATTGAGGCTTGAAGCCAGCACAGGGAAACAAATGCAAGAGATTCATTTCCAATTAACCAGCAAAAAGCCAGAAATAGAGATGTAACTCAAGTGATAAAGCATTAGCTTTGAGCAAAAATGCTAAGCAAGTGTGCAAAGCCCTGAGTTTAAACCCCAGTACTTCTCTCTCTCTCTCTCTTTCTCTCTCTCTCTCTCTCTCTCTCTCTCTCTCTCACACACACACACACACACACACACACACACAATTGTATAGAATTGGTGGTTAGAAAAGGGTGATTAGCCAAAGCAGGTTTGGGATAATCAAGGCTCCAGCTGCAATATTCTGAAATGCTGCTGTAGGAATGCCCAGTCTTGGCCCTATTGATAGATGTCCCATACAAATAAACGAAAGGGACAGCCTGTCTGTAATGAGCAGGTGTCCTTGAAAGTTTTGGAAATAAGTTTTTGGAAGCATCCTTGCCTATTCTTTCTCCTCCTATCATCAGCTCACCCTCAAGGCATTCAGGTTGAAGTTCATTGTGCATGAACCATCTGACACTAGCCATTAAATTCCTGATCTCACATGGTCAAAGGCAGTCCTTCTGCATTCCTCTCCAGACAACACTTTCCATTCTTTTTTTTTTTTTTGGTCAGTCGTGGGAATTGAACTCTGGACCTGGGTGCTTGTCCGTCAGCATTTCAGCTCAAGGTTAGTGCTCTACCACTTGAATCACAGTGCCACTTCAGATTTTCTGGTTGTTTGTTGGAGATAAGAGTCTCACGGACTTTCCTTCCTTGGGCAACTTTGAACTGCCATCCTCATATCTCAGCCTCCTGAGTAGCTAGGATTATAGGCTTGAGCCACTGGCACCCAGCTTACTCTTTCTATTCTTGCAGGGATGAAAATCTATTGTACTTTTCTACCTGGGAAACATTCATTTTATTAGTTCCAGTTCACAAACACACACACACTCAGACACACACACACAAAAACCTGAAATCTACAATAGTTCCCCAACACTTGATATGGTGGAGGACGTAAAGATGGAATATGATATTTGACCTGGATTGTGTAAAATGGATAATGAATGATTTTAAGATGTAAATGTAAGTGTGTTGTGGATAAGACTTCCCTGGTAACTTGTTACTTTAGCTAGTAACTATAATTGCAACTCTGCAACACTGTAATTCTGTAACTCTGTAACCCTGTAACGGTTGTAACTACAGTTCTGCTATTTTCTGAACAAAGCCAGCCCTAACCCAGCAGAACCATCACCACCCTTTGTTCTATTCCCCTGCTTCCCACCAGCAAAACCTTAGTGGAAAATTTAAACTTCAGGTGTGCATTTCTTGTAACAATCATTGGCTAAAACCAACACCCAGCCTCCCCCTTTCCCCGCCCTAGCCCAAAATGCTTAAAAGCCAATGTGGGCTGGCACTCTGGGCCGTTTCCTGGGATCCCAACTCCAGGTGCGGTCCTGGCACATCAGCACTTTTCACTCAATAAAATCTTCTACATTTTCACTGCCCCTCCCCACTACACATTTATTTCCAAAATATAAATTTTAACTCTTTTTATAAAAGTGGTGCATGTTATTAAGTAATGAAAGAATACAGAAGTAGAGATGCTGGAAATAACCAAATTTATTTTTTAACTATCCTCACTTATTTTCAGTTTTGTTATACAGCAAAAAAAAAACCCCACCATATCTTACCACACCATGTATTCTGTAGAGTATACTTGCTCTATTTAATGCATAGTTTCACATAGATCTCCATTTCCTCCTTCTTTGGTAGTATTAGGATTTGAACTCAGGACATCATTCTCACTAGGCAGATGCTCTACCACTTGAGCCTTGATCCCAACCCTCCATTTCATCCTTTATAATGAATACCTAGAAGTCTATTTTATGGTTGTTCCATAATTTACTTGCCTAATCTCTTATCAATAGAGATTTATGTTGCCCTAGATTTTGTTTTTGCTATTACAATAGCACTAAATATAATTCTTCCACAAACATTTCTATATATAATTGTCAGGATTTTTTTTTTGGAAATACATTTTTTTCTAAGGTGAAACTATGTCATTAATATTATAAAGATTAAAACTATCGATGAATATTATCCAAACACTCCTTGAGGCTCATATGTACTTATGTTCTTTTCAAATTCTCAAAGGTTCTCCCTCCAACTCCACATTCATACTAGTTATTAGTATTCTTTTTTTTTTTTGCCAGTACCAGAATTTGAACTCAAGGCCTGACTCAGCTTACTTGCTTGGCTGGCACTCTGACACCTGAGCCACTGATTCAGTCTTGTGTCTGACGGTTATTTTGGAAATGGAGTTTTGAGGACTTTCCTGCCCAGGCTATCTTCAAATGCTAATCTTCTGGATCTCAGCCTCCTGAAGGACTAGGATTACAGTCTTCAGTCACCAGTGCCTGGCTTAAAAATCCTTCAATTATGTATAGATCTACTCTAAGTCTTCTTTTGTTAAATAAAAAATAATTGTGTGCTTTGTTTTAATAATAATTCGGTCTCTAACCTGTAATGCTGGGGGGGAAAGACTTAATTTGAAAGAAATACAAAATGAGAGACGGAGGAGAAAATGATCTTGAAAATTCACTGCATTTTTAGAAGTAATGTTAGTCATCATTCTGGAAATACTTTTCATTTGGAACAAGTATTTTTTTCTCCAACATTATCATTTTTGTTGTAGATGAGGATTCTGGGATAGATTGAGCATAGTGTTTATTCTAAAATATTTTTAATCACCTTCTTTGTGTTAAATTCTTCTGGGAATGGAAGTCTTTCTTGCCAGTTGGTAGGGAGTCAAGGACATGAAGAAGTTGAGTGTTGCAATAAATGTACCCTTAGCATATAGTCCTGGATGAGGTGACGCTCACACACAGTAATGTACCCAAATCAATGAATGCAGCCCTCTTTTGAAGGGACTGACTCTCTGAAAGGGAATGAAGCTGTGTGAAGCTGTGATCAGAATGTTGCCTCCAGTGTGGTGGTGGGTGCCAGAGAGTAAGGAGTCAATTTTATTTGGAGAGATCAGAATAATTATCTGAAGTAGTATGTCTTAACCCAGTTAGGAGACAAAGTATGCAATCAAGCTATCCATAATCTGGGAAAGCAGATCTCAAATAGTACAGAAGGAAGACCAGTGTGCTTTCAAAGGCCAGGGATTCTAAAGGCACCTACCATATTCTATGAAGGGCGTGTCATTTGAGCCACAAGAATGTAAACTTTGAGAATTGTCCAGGGGATGGAGAGAAACTGTTAAAACTAGCATATCAGTGCTCCTAGGGTTAACCTTTTGATGTGGCTTCTTAAAAAAAAAAGTAATACTAAGATGCATGTACAAGCTAAAACAATAATAGCTTGCATCTGCCCTTTTTATTTTGCAGGCTTCATTTCAAGCATCTCACGTATAACAGTTCCTTTCATCCTCACTCAAACCTCATGCCTTCATTTTGCAGAGGAGGAAACTGAGGCACAGAACACTAAATCACTTACAAAAGGCCACTCAGCTCATAGGTAGAAGAGTGAATACTGGAAGCAGAGTTGGACATCCAGGTTTGGTTAACTGTGCTCACCATGACAGATCTACAACAGCTGCCTTAGTTATGCATTGACTGTGTTCCAGATCTGTGCTAAGCACTTTAACGTGTGATTTGTGTCCATGACCCTGTACAGCTGTGAGATTGATACTATAATTAGTAGAAAGAGAAAAAAAAAAGGTCATTGGACACTTTCGTTGCTTGTCTAAGATTTCAAAGTAGGAAGACGCAGAGCCAGAATTTGAGCAAAAAGAGTATGTCTCTGGAAAGAGCAGAGCCCATAGCGTGTGATGGAAGGATACAATCGAAGAGGAAGGACAAGGTAGCCCCATGGTGCTCAGCATTGAACTGACCACAGATGATTCATGGTTCTCCCAGGGCCCCCACAAACAAGGAAAGATTCTGCAGATGGTCTGAAAATGTTCCAAGGAAGTTGCAAGAACTGCAAGCAGGTGAAATGCCTAGCCAGAAGCTTAACCTGGCTGATTCTGTCCTGATGATCTGAAAATAGAGAGCCAGGACTTATGTGCGATGGTCCCCAGGTGAGAATTAACAGACATTTTCTAATAATTAATATCAACGCAGAAAGAGAATGGGGCCAGAGCTCCCAAGTCCCAGAGGTTTGGTTTCATTTTTGGGGTTTTTTTTTCCCAAGAAAGATGAATGAGGGGCAAATGTCAGAATGTTTAAAGGGGGAAATACTATGCCTGATGAAGAATGGGTTGAAGGCCTCGCTTAGGTCTTTTTCTTCTACTGGCTTACTGAATTTCAGTCATCTTCAAACATACTCGATGTCTTTTAGGAAAATTAATATATGACAGGATTGAGACACGGAAGTTCATTAAAAGCTATTTATCCAGCATTCCATTAGCCAAAATTTGCATGTGTTATCAATTCTCTGGTGTATGGGCTTCATAAATGATGCTGCTTAAGGAAACAGGAACATCTTCAGTATTTGAAGAGAGAGATTGGATCCTGATACTTGTAATTTACTGTTGAGACTATTTTGTAGCATTCTAATTTTGTCAAAAAAAATTGTGCTTTGTGTCAACTCGTAGTTCTCCTTTAACCAGAATTCATGATTAACCAGGATAACCTACTGCTTACTCATGACAGAAAATGTTCCAGAACATTCTCCAAATGGAGGGATGAGCCAGGTAGTCTGTGTCACAGTGTGCCAGTAGAAACTCAGAGGCAGCAAGGCAGCAAAGCCTCACTCACTTCCTCCCTTGGCCAAGCCTGTCATAGACAATAAATATTATTTAACCCCCTGCTGTGTGGTTTGTATAGCTGTCCAGAGTGAAATGTTACTGTTGGTTATGTCTGACCGTGAGGGACACCCTAAAATCAGGATCACAAAGAAAAGTGAGTGCCTCAAAAACATAAAATGTTTATTCTTCCCCACGACTATCCTGTGGCCTGCACAGATACATTTACAGAGAGATGATAATGCCAGCTTTAAAGGTAATTCCAGCAACCCATCCAGAGAACCAGGAGAAATCCTCCGAACAAGAGGAGTCCATCCAGTTCAACACTTGTGATGGCTCTTGGCAGCATGGTGATGTGGCACAGCACGCCCACAGCCCACACTGAAGGTTTCAGGCCTCGCTTCCTTCCCTGTCTCTCCTTCTACTGAGGTGAGGATTCAATCTGGTAGGCTGGCCAGCCCTGCAAGCACATGGCTGTCACCTTGCTGCTGGGTCTGGCTTGGCAGCTTCTTTCACCTGTGTCCAATGTGTGAAAGGGGCCATCAGCAGCCCCAGTAATCAGGCTGGGACTCACATGAGATGACTGAAGGGCCTCTTCCTCTACCAGCTGTTCCCCCACTTCTGTTCTGTAGCTGCCTTATGCCTGGGTCTGCTCTCAGACTCAAGCCTGTGGCATGTACCCAGTTCCTAGAATGCCTTGAGGGCCCTGCAAATGCAGCAGTGTTCTGGGGACAGCACTGGACCCCAAAGCACAAGTCCAGCTCCACGCCTGGACTTTCTGGGTTGTCCTAAGATTTCTTAGCTCAGGTACAATCTGGGTAATAACCCAACCTGGACCACAGTGTGGGGAAAAGGAGTGTGAAAGGAGAGAGGGGCCTGACTGGACTTTGTGAGCTGAGAAGCATGCTGCAACCTAAAGCAAGGAACATGTAACCTCTAAAAGGCTGGACATCCTGACACGAGCTAGCACATGGAAGAACCCATCTGATGCTATGCTCAGTGAAATAAGCCCATCACCAAAGACCACTACTGTGTGACTCTGTTGTTAGAGATCCTTAAATGCACACAAATTCACAGAGACTGAAGTTGAACGGTGGGTCGCAAGGAGTTACCGAGAGGAGAAAAATGGGGAAACGTTGTTTAATGGGTAGACTTTCTACTGGGAAGGGTGTGAAAAGGTTGTGAAGGTAGGTTAATAGAACAATGTGAATATGGTGATCGTCACTGAGCTATTCAGGCAAACTTGGTTAAGATTGAGCTAGGGATATAACTCAGGGATAGAGCTCCTGCTTAGCATGGTCCAAGCCCTGGGTTTAATCCCCAACATCACAATAAAAAATAAAATAAAAAATACATGATTAGTGTGTTTGTGTGTATTTTATCACATTTTTATAAAGAAGACAAAGGCTTTACACACCCACATGCTTCAAGAGGCTAATTTTGACCCTGATGCCCCAAACTATGCACTCAGTAGTGGGGAGGGCCATCAGGAAAGAAGGACTTTGATTGAACAGTAAGACTCGTGGCCACATCCTCTTTCATATACCTGGAAGACCATCCCTTGACAAAAGCTGTTTCAATGCAGGGGGCGCTAGGCCAAAAGAATAGATCCCAGGACTGCTGCAGAATTGCTGAATTTCTGGAATTTTCCTCTACTTGTTACTTTACCCAGAAAGAAATCCCAGACTTAACGAGTTCTGTATGTAGGCTAAAGAGCAGGAAAGAAAAGCTGGGTACACACCTTGTAAGGCTCTTTCTCCTCTACACCATTCACTGTCTACCGACCTCAACTCAAAGGCTGCACCATCTTTAAGTTATACCTCGTTTGCCTATGAGCCTTTCCTTTGGCCTCCAGAGACTCTTAAAATGACCTTTGCCAGGAGTAACCATGCCCGTCACTTGCAAGTCACCCTCTGATGACCACTACAGTTCATGGCACAGCATGAACTGTCCTATCCGTAGCTTTCATGCTCATAAAGAGCTGGTAAAGTGCTTTATGTTCTCCCTCCTCCGGTCCCATCTTGGTGCTTCTTGTTCCTATAGCGCCTCAGGCTCCTGTTCAAATGCTGCTTCTTCCCGTAATTCTGTAAGCTCCTGCTCAAATGTTTCTTCCCATAATGCCCCGGGAGTCCACTTAATCAAATGAAGCATGCTGGGGCAGACATGTATGAACCATCCGCCATGCGGGCAAAGCCCACATGACTGCTACTTCCCTTTCATACTTTCCTTTTCTTTCCAATAAATTTCTCTGTTTGCCTTAAACACTTTCTTGCCTTTTAATGCTCTAATGGGTGGAGAAAATGAATCCAGCCGTCCAGAGTCCCTCCCTCTACACCGCTCCAATGAAATCTCTACACCTCCTCTCCCTCCCCTTAGGCTCCACACATGATCTGCTTAAGCCGAGGAGCTATGAATGAATGTGACCTGCACCACTTTTGAGCAGAAGCTTTCAGAACTAATACTTGGTCTCGCCATGTCTTTCTGCCAGGAAGATCAGACAGGGAACATTCCTTTTAGACTATGAACAATGCAAAGAAGAGCCTAGATGGCAGGCAAACTGTGATGTCAGAGAGAACAAGATCTCGTTTTGGTGAAGACACTGAGTATTGGGAACCTTTCGTTATAAAACATGATTAAACCTAAACAGGCTGATTAAGATATTAAGTAGTCTCTCTTTACCCATAGGGACCCCTGGTCCAATGCCTCCAGCAGATGCCCAGAGCTATGAATGGAACTGAATCTTAAATACTAGATC